TTGCTTTCGACTTCGAGATTTTTTTTGAGTAAAAATATGCAAAAAAATTTAAATTTTTTAAAAATTATTCTTAGTTATTTTTCTTCTTTTTTTCATAAATCTTTATCTCATTTCCCCCCCCCCCATGTTTTCTCTACATTGCTAACCTATTTTATGAGTTTTATATACTTCCAGCTTATGTGAAGTAAATAAAACATAAATTTTTCTTCTTTTTTTTCCTCTTTTTTTAATCATTTTAGTCTTCACTGTGTTATTTATGTATATATATGTAAAAAAAAATTTTTTTGAAAAAAATGCTGCAGTTTTCCATTCAAATTGTTTTTTAAAACATCACAGAAACTTTCCTCCTTTAACGTAGGGTTAAAAAAAGCATCCGATTTTAATTAGCTTTCATTTAAATGACATATTCGAAAACTTACAGTAGATTTAAAGGTGTATTACTTATGAAATCTCAAACAAAAGGTTTTCTAGAGCTTTGTTGCGTCGCAACAATTTGTGGCGAAATGCCAGAGGATGATGATATAATGAACCACCACCTTTGCAGTTTCGTCATTGTATTTACGAAACTTCTCGGATATTTTGCTTCCAAGAACAAGCAGTTTGATGTCATGTGAGAAAAGCATTGACTCATTACGATTCACGTGTTTTGCAATGCAAAGCACTTTTTTTTAAATAAATCATATTTATAATTCTTTTGTATATTGCTTTTAAGAACTAGAGATATATTATGTTAAAATTAAGTCATTTCACAAATTATTATTTATTTCTGTTTTATTAATGCATTAATAGGTTTTTTTTTACCCGTTAAAAGTTAATTTTAAGGTTTGTATAAAGAAGAGTTCATTTTGTTTAAAAAACCTTTTGCTTCACTTTTTCTAACTGAAAATTTAATAGGATTCCCACGAGTTATAAATAGTTAATGTTCGCTAAGTAAGATATAACTTCGTTTTAGCTACCACTTCAAAAAGTAAAATAGTAATTTAATTGTGTATTTTTGTTTAATTAATGTTGTGGTTTTTCTATTGTTTAAGTTAATTTTACAAAATTTCTTCAAGTTTGCTTAAAGAACTGTTTATTTTGTATGAAAGGCCGGCCCTCTTGCTGCATTTTATGCCAGAAAAGTTTAATGAAATTCACAAGTGTAATAAGTAGTTAATGTATTAGCTAAGTGAGCTATAACCTCATTTTAGCTACCACTTTAACGTTTAGCCTACTGAAAATAAAATTCCAATATTGTTACGGTGGTCATATAAATTTAGGTTGTATGTGCGTATTATTTTAAGAAAGTGATAGAGAATTCAAAACACAACTTTTCTATATAAAGCAAATATTTTATTCAACATAATATTTCCAGAATTCTGTTTTACTATGAGATAATTCAACAAGTTACTTTTTACATGCTTGCTTGAATTAAATATATGCCGTTGTGGACAAAATTACTTTAATATACTGCTCAATATCAGAAAAAAGTTGAAAAGTGGTGACAAATGTTTTACGAGGTTGTTGAGGACTTTATAGGTTTTAATTTGATTTTGTAATTTCAGCAATTATAATATATAAATTATAATATTAATTATAGGCCTACTACTAAGAATTTTTTTTTTCAAACTATGAAGAACCCGTAAGAGATGGAGTCTTGCCTTAGAGTTATTTTAAACAAATTTCAGCTTTTAGGTAAATTTTAAAAAAATTCTCAGTACTAAAAGCAATAAAATTGTTTCTCCACTAACATTTATGAAATTTTTTCTCAGAACCAAATGTAGACAGCTAGGCAATATTCAGTCCAAATGTAGACAGCTAGGCAATAATCGGTATGCAAATAACACACATTATTTTCGGTATTAAGTTGCAGAAAATAAAAAATTTTAATCGTTAAAATTTCCTAAAATTTGACTGAGATCCAAACTTATTATAACGGGTTATTATAGAATATTTGAGAAATATTTGAGGATATTAAAAATAATTGAGAAAATATAGCTACAGAATATTTTTAATATTCAATTTTATCTATATTTAGATACTTAATATCTCGAAATATAGATTTTTATTAGTCTTCATTGCAACTTTCCTTCCGTTATCTCTATTTTCAGAAAACACAATTAGCGCTGAAATAAATATCCACTTTAAGAGAAATGACGCGGATTCTATTTAAGAGAAAAATGACTAAAAATCTCATTTACGATACCAAGGTTACACCTGCTTTTAAAGTATGTAAATAATTTACCGTTCATCGCTCTTAGATTCTTTCAAGGTTTCCGAACTCATTCACTAAGATAATTTAACTTTTCTTTTCTTTCAAATGTTAGTGATTTTATTTTGTGTCTTTCTGTAAATTAACACTCAAAAAATATACAGAAATATTTCTATTTTAAGGAAATAAAAGTTCATTTTCAGAAATTGTTATTTTTTTAATTGACATCTCCGTACAATTTCTTTTTATTACCTAGCAAAAAATACATACGTTATGAAAAAATATTATACATTTCTTTGGTAACCACTCTATAATTTAATGCATTATTTTTTAACATGCGTGGCTTAAATATTGAGGTCAATAGTAATTTGTTAAAAAAATTAATTACTATTTAAAACTATAAACATTTTAAAAATTTTCGAATCACATCGTTGAGAAGTAAAACCCAACAAATATTAATCTTCTGCCTGCGAAATATATTTGACAAAAAAGTGCCAAAAATGGAAAAAAAGAAATATTTTCCTTAACATTGTTCGTTATTGTCATCAAAAAGCTAGAAATAGATTCTTTTTTAAAAAATAAAATTTCAAACCATAAATAAATGCAATACTCAATGTTTTCACATATATTGGAAATGTTAATAGATCACAATATTTTTGCTCAAATTAAACAAAATGAATCAAATGACGTAATTTTTAAGATAAATTTAATAAACTAATTCAGCGATATTATTTATTAGCAATCAAAATGGGGTACAGGTGTCGTAGAGCAGAATTCTCTACCTATGGCAACCATTAGCATTAGAATGTATAGCTTTCACTATTAGCATGTATAGCTCGTTCACCAGGAGTTGGCACTTGGCTCCGCATTCATCACGTGGTATCCGACGATGCTATTTCGCTATTTTTCGGAGAAGGATGTGAACAATCCTGAACAAGAATGCTATTTAGCGATCGTATGACTAAAATGTTTACATCGCTACCTTAATGCGAATTAATTAACATTAAATATTTCATGAATTTGATGAGATTTCTTTCTTTTGAGTGAATAGTTTGTCCTATTTCAGACATTTTGTTGAAGTAAGTGACTAAAAAAGAATTCACTGTTCGCATTAAGGGTTGTATCGATTTCGGGCGCGGAGACATTTTTTCCCTTACTCCGAGCGGAAATGAACTCTTCAACCGAGGAAGTGGAGCTAAGTGCCCTGGTGAACGAACTATAGATTCTAATGAATTTGTCCCTTAATTTTATAAGATTTTTAAAATTTAATCAGAGGAGAAGGAAGTGCATTAGTTACTGTCATGATTTTTAAATAGATTCGAAACTTTTAAGTTAGAAAACTATATAAAACTGATAACTACATTGAACATAGTTCAAAAAAAGCGTCATGGATTTTTTTAAAAAAATTGACAAATAAACTCGAAAAATATTTTTTTTTTTTTTTAACGGCAGTCACTGACCTTTTATATTTTATTTTATAACCGTCGTTGAACAGTCGACCCAATTTCATGGGTTTACGACTACTTACGTTCAACTCCGTAGCCTTGTAATTTTGAACCAATCCAGAAGACAAGGAAACTCCTGGATCAGTACCCCCAGAGGTATTGATTTGTTGTGGGAACATGGAGGACTTTGAGACTCGACAGATTTAACGTGCATCAGTCACCATTTACTACACGGGGAGTCTTCGGCCGGCGAGGATCGAACCCACGACCTCTTGGATATGGGCCCAGCGCCCTACCGACCAGGCTATCCCGGCCCCAGTCACTGACCTTATCGTTTTTCACCATGTGTCGCACATTTTGCTTGGCTAATGAGCAGCTTGTGACCAAAGTGACGGAGGCGAGCAACATTACCCACGCCACACAAACCCGTCCATAGAGTGGGTCACATTCACATATCATAAACCACAGCGGAAAACACACAGAGAGAGAAACATCCATGCCCTGAGCGGGAATCGAACCCACAGTCATTGGCTTCGCAAATAGGCACGCTAACTGCTCGGCTACCTGGCCGGTAATACGAAAAACATTAAGAAAAGGGAAGATATCACAGTACATTTCTATACAACTGAGAAGAGAAGATGGTCAGGACACGGAAACGGTCTTCTTCCCAGATGGCGTATTTGAGCGTTGCGATGGCGAATATTAACTGTCATGAATCCCATGCCCTCAGATTTCTTTGAATTGTATAAATGACAAAAAAACACGACAGATGGCGCGAAACTGAGAACTTTTGGCTGGAAAATTTAAAAACAGGTAGTGCCATCTGTTGGGAGAATGGTAAATAACATATTAATGCATTGGATGAACTTAGATCGGGCTTCACGGAATGAAAGTACTGATTTTTATCTTGCGCGAACTCAAGTCGGGCAATCCGAAATTGGTGCATTTGCGTTTCCCGGAATGTTTTCTTCTTCCTTATAATTTGTATGTGTCATAGTTGTAGTTTTGATTCAATATTTAAATAGATTACAAAAAAAATAAAAATAAATTGATTTTTTACCACTTCTTACATTTTTAGTTACCCACGATCTCTGCTGACAGTGATGAGACAGTGAAAATAGACAGTGATGAAATGTTTATTATAAAGAATAGACAAAGCTTCTTTTTTTCTCTCTTCACGAAAAACAGTTAAATATTATATAGTTTAACACCCGTTTTTTTTTCTCTCTCTCTCTTTTCCATTTTTCTTTCAGCCTTACTGTAAGATGGATGTTCATCCACAGATTATACCGTAGTGTTAATTAATGATAAATAATTATTAAATATTTAACATTCTTTCTAAGTTAGGTTGTTACACATTTTAGGTATACTGTATACTTCCAACATAGCAACGGGAAGATGTTTCATCCGACCCATCAGGCACGCTGATTACATGGAAGCTAACGAGGAGGGTAATCTTTACATAAATTTGGCAACACCAGAACACATATTCCAGATGGAGACTGACAAAATGGAATATAAAGGAAATGTATGCACTTCTTTTAACTACCAGTTCTTTCATGAATTATGTATTTTATCAGGGTTGTTCCGGCCGGGGAAAAATTGAAAATCAAACTACCCTGTTATTTTAATTGGGGATTGTGCCCCAGTCGATTTGGGTGCACTCTTGATATGTTGTAGTTGAAATACTCTGATCAAAAGTCCTCACCGGGGTTCAATGACAAAAACATTTACAGAATTTGAGACACGAAGTGTTAAATTTTCATGCCATGTAGGTTTTAAAATGTTTTTTCGAAGCTCTGTCCGCAAGGAAAATAAAAAAAAGCAGAAGTTTACGTGCTTAATACTTGAAGCAGCTTGATTTTAAACTATATATAGATATTATTTTGCCGTGAAGAATTATCTGGGCTTTAGAACAGACGAATAATTTCAATGTTTTAAAAGTCGCCAATCTGGCGACATTTTCACAACTACATGAAAATTATCAAAATTACTGCCTTATTTTCAATATTTGCAAATTTTTTTTAACCCAGATAATACTGCATTGGAGTAAGTTTTTAAATATTAAAAATTTAAACCACAAATGCTTTTCATCTTCACAAAATTGTGCATTTTCTCTATATTGACCTTCTGCGGCATTTTCAAAGTAAGCATAGACACCGCCGGCTTTAGATTGGTTAAATTGACCTAACAGGCATGAATAACTGTTACAAACTCACAGCAGTTATGAAAATATCATATTATTTGCAAAAAAATAAAAAATATTTCATATGAAGACGGAGCCTTCAAAAACAGATTTCGTAATTCGCAATTTCAATATTTGCTCATTTTGGAACATTGGGTGAATGAGAACTTTTGACGAGGAGGATTTTGACTACAACATATCAAAATTTCAGCCAAATCAACTGGGTTTCTATGGGATACCTGTAAGTGACGTAGTGTGGGCATATCTATTTTGATTGGCTGCTGATATGTGGCATCTGTTTACGTTAGCAACTGTTCTTTCCATTTTATTTCGAGTAAACCTAGCCCGTCATGTATCAAATCCCTTAAATAACACGTTCTGTTATCGTTTACAAAGATTCTTTCACAAAGATTTCAATTTTTCATGTGTAACATAAACAAACTAATTATGCATCGATGTTGCCAGATACACAAAATAAAAATATATCACGGTTACAATTAAATACAAAAACAAATAAGTTAAGTAAAAGAAGTAAACGAAAAAGGATTCTATTTCAACAAATTTGATGAGTGATACGCCACTGTGTTTAATTAATTGTATGTTAAGTAACATTCTAACTTGAGTGGGGAAATTTAACTCTACTTTAACACACCATTTTGTTTATAGACGATCAACTCGGCCCTGACGTCATTGGTCACATGTGTGGGTATAAGTTGTCTTCTTCTTGAAATGCAAGTACCCAATTCCCATATAACAAGTGCAAGATCCATTAATGAAATGTCATCATTTTCACGTATTTTTTGCTATGAGAAAGTATTTTCTGAATATATATGAAAATCTATCTCGAAGTAAAAACGCTGTATCCTAAAATTAAAATGTAATTATTGTCAATGACATGAAAGAACTGCCACCTCTTCATAATTTTCTTCCCTCCAGACAGTAGTTCTTCTGTTTATTCTGAATCAGGAGTCACCAATCTTTGCAGAAAAAGTGCACTTTAAATCCTTCAAGGTCAAAAAAAGTCGAATACATAAAACTTTATTTCTCAAGAACTATTCCACTGATTTTGCTCAATTTTTGCTATATTAAAATACATTATTTTAAATGATTTAAAAAAAAATCGTATACCTTACAATTCAAAATACATAATTCACACATAAATAAAATAATAAAAAGTAGTAAATATTGACTGAAAAATTATTTTTTGCATGGGATTATCTTTGGATAAATGAATTTTATACTTGCGTGCAAAAATTTTTCAATTCGCCTGAAAGTTCTGGAGATATAGTGAAGTAAGCCAAAAGTAAAATTAACATTTCGAGGTTTCAAACTTTGGATGCGCTCTCCTGACCCAACTATTGAGACCATATTTCTCAAATTGCGACTACCCCCTTTATTTTGGGAAATCCGAATCCGATGAAATAAAGTCTGAGAAATAAAGTTTTTGTGTCTGATTCAATAACTTAAAATATCATCTGCAGTTATTATTTAGCATATTTGAGATCATCCCCTCAAACCATTAAGTTAGAGTCTAGGATTCTGTGAAGATCCACGCATTAGATCGAACGTTATTCAGGGTGGTCCGTTTTTTATTGTAAAATATTTACGCTATATGTAATACTTCTTGGATCCGATAAGAAAAAGGCTATCGTCTGCACTTATTAATTAGCATATTCGATGTTACTCCCTCGAGCCATTAAATTTCAGTTCTACAACGTGAAAATCAAAGTTATTGAGTCCAATCAGTTTTTATTTATTTTTTATTTTTTTTAATTATTTTTTGCGCACTGTACATAAGCCTATACGTTCTTTATAAACTTTTACATTTACGCTAAAATAAAATGAACTAAAAATACCTTTTTTGAAAAAAAAAAAATAACCGTAACTTTTCGAACAAAATCTTTCTTAAACCCATATGTATCTGAGATTCAGATTTGAAATCACCCTATCCGAATTGGGTAAGATCAAGTTCTTGTATACATGAATAAAAATTTGTTTCCTAGTGTCTTTCAAGACATTATGATCCTTTAATCTTCCCATTCTGCGGCGTTTTGAGTTTTACGACTGAATTATCTAGCTCACCTTAACAACATACTGTAATTTTGAAATGTGCTCAAATTTTTGTTTCAGAGCTAATTAGGGTGTGAGAGGCGGAAGCTTAGGCTTAGGAGATTGAGTAAATCAGGTTCGAATCCCAGTGGTTGCTAGAGAATACGAATTCTATCCCCAGGTCTCACGAGTCACACGTAAAATATCCTCAGTGGTAGACGGATCATGGGTTAGAGTCCTCTTGCCGTCGGGCAAACCATGGGAGGTTTTCGTGGTAATGCAAATGCGGGTTAGTTGGATCCAAAAGTTCCCCAAGAAGGCAAATTTCTCTCAATACTTGATCCAGGAGCTCCATTGTCTTCTAGATTGGTTTCAAATTAACTAATACGCAGTTGAACATTGGTAGTCGTAAACTAAAGATTGGGTCGGCTCTGCAACGCCGGCCATAAGCGAGTGAGATATCTATGACATAAGAAATGTCACCTTTATTAAATTTTTGATACAAATTGCATGTCATTACTTTAAATTAAAATGTTTCATTTCCTTGCGTAAAGGAACTATTGTTTTCCTTTTCAAGTTATTTTGCTTTGCCAGCCTTTTCAAATCTTAAAAAATTACTCTGTTTACAAAACGGCAAAAATAAAAAAAATAATTAGCATAATAAAAATAAATAACTAATATAATTAAAATAAATAACTAAAATAATTAATATAATTAATGTAATTAAAATAAATAATTAAACTAATGAATGTAATTAAACTAATTGGTATAATTAAACTAATGAATATAGTTAAACTAATGAATATAATTAAAATAAGCAATATTATTAAAATAATTAATTTAAACAAATAGATAAAAGAAACAATACAAAAGTTTTTTCTCTTTAAAAAAATATAAAACTCCATAAAAAAAAAACATGACAAATGCAAATAAAGCTATCACACGTGTCTGAGATTCTAGAAATGATACATATTTTCATCATTATAAAGACTCGTGGTAAGAAAGCAACACACATGCCTCACAATATATCTGAGTATAAAAGCACGTGGTTCAATGATGAAACTAACAGTCATAACTGTCACGTCTTATCAGCCAGTCTTTTAAGTAACACATTTTTTTCTCTCTCCTACATTGAGAAAAAATAGGAACTGTCGAGGTTTCGGTTTTTATGCTTTAAAAATAGTCGATTATTCCTTTTCACAAAAATCGAATATAATTCGGTATGAATATGTATATTTGATTATTCTGATATAAAATGTATTTCGCTATAAAAAGTACGCAAAAAAAAATAATTTAAAATCAAACCAGGAATGAAGCTTAGTAAAGAGATATGAGTGTTAAAATGCTCTTCAAAATAAAGATTTAACAGAAAAGTCAAATCTGATAAAGCATTTCAGAAAGTACACTCTTTTCATTTTGGAAATTGTATGCATAAGATGAAAATATATAATAATACAAAACGATGTAAAAACGAAAATTATTATGTAAAGAAAATACATATAAGTTTGTATAGATATATAAACTGCACACTGTAAAAAATGAATGCTTAAATTTCATGAAACTTTCCTTGTTTTTGACGAAACCGTTTTCTAGTATAAGTTCCGAGTGAACGTTTTGTCAAAGTGACGAAAAAATTATCATTAATTCTTCAAGAAAATGAATTTGTTCAAAAGTAAGGAAATATTACTTGAATATATTTTTTTGACATCTTTTGGTGTCTATGGTGTGGTGTTGTTCGTGTTGTTTATTGTTGATCACTTTTTCGGGGGCAACAGGAGACGGATCACTTGTCACCCCAACAACACAAAGACGGATAGAAGCGGGATTTGAACCAGGAATCTTCTGTCCAGATCCAAATGTTCTCCTTAGCATACTTTGTCATTTTAGTTTCAATCATCTAATCTTCATTCTAGTTACCAATATCAATGCACAGCGATTTGAGAATTCGCGTTTCGCCACATATCACGTGATTTCGTAAAGATATGATTCAAAATTAACGAAATATAGCTCAAGGATTGCTGATTCGTCAAAAGTGAGAGTCTTTTCCATTTCTCGGGAAATTGGAAAGCTAAAATTTGAAGCATACGTTCTTTATGAAATAAATAGAATAACCCCCCCCCTCCCAAAAAAATTTTCATTTCAATGTCTGTAATTATCGTAAAATTTTTATTATGATAATAAACCTAATTAACGGTAATGCTGAGTAACATGTTTTTGCCGAGTTCGATGACTCAAATTCAGATCACTATTTATTAAAAAATGAAAAAAAAATTTTTTTTTCATGTTTCTGAGTGATTCTTTAATCAGCAACCAAAAAGGTAGTTGACATCAAAGCTACACCAAAAAGATAAAAGAAGTACATGATGGATAGTATAAGGGACCCTTTGCCGATCAGGTCCCAGTAACCAAATCACACTATTGATGATCTGGTTAATTAATCAGGATTAACTGTGCAGGGTTAATTGATCAGGATAATTAGCCTAATTCACAGTAATTCTGAGTAACACATATTAACTAATATAAATATCTCAAATTCAGATGATTTGTTATTTATGGAATAAATTTCACGTTTTTACCAATTACCAACATGTGTTTGGAGCAGCATAGCCGATTCAGGCTCGTGTGCTATTTTTCTACTAAAAAGTGAGTTCATGCATTTTGATGACTATATAGAAATGCGAAATAGGGAATTTGCGTAAGTGGACCAACAGGCTACCGCATAGAGTCCGAGAATTATAACGATCCCTCTAAATTGCTCCAAAAATACTAAAATCGGGGATTCAGAGTAATGCTGCCGGATGCATCGGAAACGAATTCAGAGCTTTGAAGTGGTTGACGCAGACAACTAGTTATATAGAGATATTGAATGAAAAAATCAATATCAGACCCATCGAATATAGAACAACATATTCGGAAAATATATGCAGGAAATGTATTTAACATAAATAAATATTAAAGCTAACATACTATCTTTCGATGTTTGAAGATTTTGTAATAGATCAGAATGCAGAATTTACAGTTTGACAAGCAAACAAAGTAATATTTTACCTATTTTACTTTTTCAAAATAATAAAAATTAAATATTGCTGATAACTACAGAGATAATACAAAAATAAGGAAACACTTCTACGCTAACTTTATGTCAAACATTTTTCTTTTAGTTTCAAATGTTTTTGGAATATTTTACATTGCAAAACTGTTGGCCCAATTTTGAAAGAACATGATCGATGTTTTCTAGAACTGTTTATCCCATTTCCCATGCAAAGCCATAACATCTCATGTCATAACGTTTATCCCATGCAAAATTAAACACCAAAAGTAAATAATTTTTTTTCTAGTTTTAATACCATGAATTGTCAAAAATCACTCTCTAGGATTGCAATATAAGATAATGCATTTTTATTCATAGTGATATTTTGTATTATTTTATAACCGTCGTTGAACAGCCGGCCCAATCCTAAGTGCACGACTACCAATGTTCAACTCCCTAGCTTTGTGATTTTGAACCCAACCTAGAAGGCAAGGGAACTCCTGGATGATGCATTGGGAGAAATTTGCCTTCGTGGAGAACTTTTTTAATGGATGCTACCGTATTTGTGTAACATAGAGAGAGAAACCACGAAAACCTCCCATGGTTAGCCTGACGGCAAAGGGACCAACCCATGATCAGTCTACCAATGAGAATAACTATACGTCGGTCCCGTGATCGGGGCGAGTCGGGTGCGGAATTTGTGTCAACCAGACATGGCTGGGATCGAAACCGGGTCACATCATTGGGTACCGAACGCTCTATCCCTGAGCCACCTTGCAGTGATATTGAAAAAGGAAAAAAGCTATTAACATCTTATGAGCATTTTGGTCGATGTAAATTTTCCATCGATTGAAAACGACATCTTTTCTTAAAGCTTCAAGCACGATCTTGTAAATTGTGCCAACAGTTTTGCCATATGAAATAGAATTTACATAGAATTTGTATAGAAGTGTCTCAATAAATTTGTCCAACCCCTGTAAGTTTACTACTGTTAACTATCTTTTGTTTTAATTTTATTATTTTTTAACAGGATTTTACAAGAGACATTGAATGTGATGTATGGGCTGGTTTATACTTCGATAAGAATTTTAATGCAACATTTGTGAAAGAAACTTATATTTCAACAGTAAGTTTGCTTCAACGAACTGTGTTTTGATCTTTTTTTTGTGTGAATTTACATCGCTTGATATTCTACTGCACATTTTAAAATGGCCTAAACTAAAAAAGAAAAGGAAAAAAAAACTTCAAGTTTCTTCATAGTTTCATTTATCAAAGATATTTCTAGTAGACCAATGTCTATGTAGAATGAAAATAGACGTTTCTGTGTATAATAACAATTTTAGGTTTATTTTTAAAGCTTTACTTTTGCTTGACAGTATTCTAACACTTTATCCCATCTCATTTGTACCTAAGATCCAAAATATTATTTAATGAAAAGTATTCCTAAAACATTGTTTAATGTACTCTCAAAAAGTGTACAAAAATTACAATGATCTGTTTTACAGCAATTTTTAGTTGCTAAAATGTAGTAGCTCCAAATTAATAATTAGGAATGTTAAATTTATAAAATGAAGAGAAATAAAAATAGAAGGTTTGCGGAACTCTACTAACGATACTAGAGAATTTATTCTCCTCTAAGTATCAAGCGTTTTAAAAATAATAACGAAATTCACCAACGATTTAAAAAGAAATTGTATCACGCTAAGCTTTCAGAATCTTTTCATCCTTTGTTAGACGATAATGGGCACAATCGTACTCTTTTTTTTCTTTTCTTTTTGTTGCTGCCAGAAAAACGATCTTTTTCTGGTACCAACAGCGTGGTGCAATCTTTAAACAAAAATAACTAATTACCGTCAAAATGTTTCATTTGGAATAGTCTGACAACAAGCCCAAAAGAAAACACTTTTCATATTTTTTCAAGAGAGCAGCGTCATCTAGTGTCAAACTTTGTAACAAAGTGCGAAATTTACGAAGATAATTTGCTTCCTAAACAGAACACTTAAAATCGTTTTCCAGCGATGGATATTTCAAATCGTTTTGTAACATGTGATGTTCAGAAATTAATTTAATGACTTATTACTTATTTTATATTGATTTCCTTTATTAATCGTGTATTAATTTTTAATCTTTCACAGAATGGGTGGCACGAATCAGCCGATGAGAAAGAAGAATTTGGAGTACCAGTGAAACATTCAATTATACAAAAAGAATTGGTAAATGAATCCATTATATTTACTTCATGTATTCAATAGTTAAATCGGATGTGCAGTGCGCCAAAAGATTATTAAATAAATAAATACTCTGAATACTTATTGTACGAATAATCGAATTTTCGCGTGCAAGAACCCAATCTTAAAAATCCGACACTTATCGCGGGACACTCATCGCAAGACATTCTTTTTTATATATATATAGCGATGTAGATCTGCATCGCATAGTTAAAACCAACCTAATATCTCTTAATGTAGTGTGATATCTCTTAGTGTTTCTTTCCTCTTTTTTTTCGAGGTGGGGGGAGGGCTGAAATTTTAATTTTATTAGAATTATTTTATCGTTTCGGAACGCAATGAGATGGCTGCAAGTTACGGAGTGTGGATATCTCTATTCTGATTGGTTGTTGAAACATGGTATCTGTTTGCGTTACCAATGGTTCTTTTCATTCTATTTCGGGCAGTAAAGTATCAAATCTCTTAAGAGATACATTTTAAATTCTTGCTATTATTCAATATAATATTATATAATAATATAATATTATTCAATATAATACTTCTATATAATTGCTATTATTCGAATACTTAAAATTATCATATAAGTTTTCTTATTGTGTAAATGTTAAAATTTCAGGGTAATGAGCTGAGAGAAGGTGTTACAGCTTATAGATTGCTACTATTTATTGCTATTGCGGTGTTGTTATTAAGAAAATATTTATGGCATTGCTATTATTAAAATATTGATGGCTATTATTATTTTTGAAGTATTTATGACATTGCTATGTTAAAATATTTATAGCATTGCTATTATTAAAATATTTATGGCTATTATAATTATTAAAATAGTCAAGGCATTGCCATTATTAAAATGTTTAAAATTATTATATAAGTTTTCTTATAGTTTAAATGTTAAAATTTCAGGATGGTGAACTGAGAGAAGGTGTTACATCTTACAGTTTTCTTAAATTCAAGGCAAAGCCTCCTCTTCTGAGGGATTTCGATGTCAGCAATTGCATTGAAACTCAAAATAAAATGGATTTTGCCATTATCCTCTACAGTAAGTGAAATAAATAATCATCTGTTATAACTTGCGAATTCTAAAAGTATTTTAGATGTAGAGTAAAATCTTGGGTGCCACGGTAACAAACTTGGAGAGGAAATAGAGTACGTTATTAAGATTGTAAATTTTAAAAAAAAGACACTGGAAATGTGATTTATGCCGCTAGGGGTACATTATCTTAATTTATTAATTATCTTAATTTTATTTTAAGTTATTATTTCTCAAAATTATTTTGTTTTAAAATCATTATCAGCTGCTCAATTTTGAGTTTATGACTATTATTGTTTAATACCGTAGCCTAATAATTTTTTATCCAATCCAGAAGACAAGGGAACTAATGGACAATAACGGTTAAAATGGGCACGAACATTCAGTTCAAACATTCAACATGAGTAGTGATTTAATGGGGAACAATATCATTTCCGATCATTGTTTGATATGTTTAATTCTCAATACCCTTGATTTGTTCTACCTCCTTTTCAAATTGAAACAGCAGTGCTAACTCACAAAAAAAAGCAAAGCATTAATTTGTCGATAATTAAGAATAGTAAAAGCTTAACTTAAACTTTAAACTTTTAATAACTTACAACTCTGAAAGATAAATAAATCCGTTTACCATCCCTAAAAGTAAGTAAGCTCGAATGCGAGTTTAAAATGTAATATTGGGTTGGTTGGAAAATATTTTCGGCTTTTATTCCGTAAAATAAAACTTTTAATTTTACAAAAAATGGACTTAAATCAATCAAATATCCGCCCGTCTGTTTCATGACCTTTTGTCATGTCTCTGGTAACTTCATGATCCCGTACTCATAAAACTTCTGGTTTTAATCAATCAAACAATCAAGTGCGATTTGTGAACATTGCTACTGATGAATATTTTACCATTTAAAAAGTTTTGTATGCTACTGTGAATGACCTAAATTTGTGGTTGTTGACAATCACATATTCGCTTTGGTCAATATTGAAAATAGCAGTTGCATTTAACTAGATCTAATTAAGTGCCACTGCCCGGTATGTCCTACAGTAATGTTTGTTTAAGGTCAAGTGCCACTGCTATGTATTTAACCGGTACTCCAAATGTTTCTCATAATCTATCCTCTGCAGATATTAAAGTATCGTATAAATATAATAATACCGACGAATGGATTACAATGAAATCGGACATAAGAAATATTTCGGACATTCACCAGAGCGATTATGTGATTGTTGACATTCACCGGAGGACATTCTCTTGATTTTGGTTATTCCCGGTAACATGTGTAATGTATACTTGAAAATATATAATAATCCAATGATGCAAGCAAAGAATATACACCCTTGTGCAAATTAATTGAAACAAACTCAATAAATTCAGAAAATTAAGAGAAAATGCTATTTTACTTTAATTTATACAAACTCAGAAATTTTTTGTACATAATATGATCTCCACGACACTTTATTAACATTTGGACATGATTCGGNAAATGTAATATTGGGTTGGTTGGAAAATATTTTCGGCTTTTATTCCGTAAAATAAAACTTTTAATTTTACAAAAAATGGACTTGAATCAATCAAATATCCGCCCGTCTGTTTCATGACCTTCTGTCATGTCTCTGGTAACTTCATGATCCCGTACTCATAAAACTTGTCGTTTTTATCAGCAAAACAATCAAGTGCGATTTGTGAACATTGCTACTGCTGAATATTTTACTATTTGAAAAGTCTTGTATGCTTCTGTGAATGATCGAAATTTGTAGTTCTTGGCAAACATATTCGCTTTAGTCAATATTCAAAATAGCAGTTAACTAGGTCTAATTAAGTGCCACTGCCCGGTACACATTTGCCCGGTATGTCCTACAGTAATGTTTGTCTAAAGTCAAGTGCCACTGCTATGTATTTAACCGTTACTCCAAACACTGATGTTTTTCCTAATCTATCCTCTGCAGATATTAAAGTATCGTATAAATATAATAATACCGACGAATGGATTACAATGAAATAGGATATAAGAAATATTTCGGACATTCACCAAAGCGACTATGTGATTGTGGACATTCACCGGAGGACATTCTCTTGATTTTGGTTATTCCCGGTAACACGTGTAATGTATACTTGAAAATATATAATAATTCAACGATGCAAGCAAAGAATATACCTAGAAAAAGAAGACTAGCTTTGACGAACATAATGTAAACAAGTCCCCAAAGAGTTGGAGCGAATCCCTATGTATTGAAGAAAAAGCAACATTTGGGGGGGGACAGAAGNGACAGAAGCAGAAATGGGTTTTCAATCTCCTAACCACTTTTAGGGTAGGGAGGAGGGAAAAAGCTTTATTTTTTCTTATATATTGTTGCTTTTTCTGCATTTTTGTATTATTTATAAACAAAACTGTATTAATTATTGCATTATTATTATAATATTATTAAAATTTTATGAATAAATTATTACATTATTATTAACAGTATTAATTAAGATACTTCTTTGAGAATACATTTATAGTAACCACATCTGACAACATATTTTGAGAGAAAAAAAAAAGAATATAATGGCCTAAATTAGCGTAAATAACCATACATGTAGAGTTGTCCAACAACAGGTGACGTACGACCTCCCAGCTGTCACTTTGCTTCTTATGAGCTACATCATAGTACATAGGATGATCTGTTAATATGAATCCAGCCCCCCATAAGTTGTTTTTCTGGTATAGCATACCGAACTGAGCAGTACTACGCATAAGTTACATATTTGGATGGACAAGAACCCAACGCCCTATCAACCAGGCTACCCTGGCCTTTCCTACCAATAAAAATATTGTAAGACTCACTCGTTTTTTGTACCTAGCCTCATACAAGCCTTAACATAATCGAAATCGAATACTACTCGCATTCGCTTATTAGAACATTTTCTCCAGAATTTTTGGTTGCAAACAAACATTTGAATTCTTTTTACTAATTCTGTTTGATTCTATATTCTAAGATCTTTCTTTCAATTTTAGTAACAGATGCAACAGAAAACCTCCTTTTAAAGTACAAGTATCAGTTCCTGGATACAGTTCAGTACTATATAAATAATGCAGCACAATTAATGTCACCCCTCCGAGTACAAAATGTTCAAGTAAGTTTAATAAATAATCTTCTAGAAAATTACTTATATTTATATAAATGCATTTAATTGTCGTAGTGGCTCAAAGAATAGAGCAGTTTCGACCCAATGAGGTGAACTGGATTTAAATCCCAACAATGACTGTTCGATACGAAATCCATACCCGGCTCGAAATGACCACAGTACTGGCCTAAAATATCCTCAGTGGTAGATGGATCATAGGTTCATTTGCCGTCAGGCTAACCATGAGAGGTTTTCGTTTTTTTTTCTCGCCATGTAAAATATAGGTTAAATCCATCTAAAGGTCCTCTACGACTTGAAATTTTTTCCAATACTTGATCCATGAGTTCCCTTGTCTTTTGGAATGAGTTCAAAATTACTAGGCTAAGGATTTGAGCATTGGTAGATGTAAACTTAAAATTGGATCGGCTGTTCAACGCCAGTTATAAAACAAGTAAAAATATTTTAATTCTGACTACGCAGATTAATTGGATTTAAAATTAGGATATCCCTTAATTAGGATTACATGCCAAGCAACCGGTCTGGAAGGACTTCTTTTTAAATTGTTTATTTACTTAATTATTTTGTTTTGCCCTAATTAATTTTCGTTTTAATGATCGTATTTGCACGCACTAAGTGTCAATCTTAATGGTTCCAGGGGGTGGTATCACATTTTGACTCATGTGGGGAAACTTAGCTCAACTTTAACACACCATTTTGCTTATCAACTGGAGTCATACGTCACATGTGCGGGTATTGTGGTCTTCTTCTTCTTGAAGTGCAAGTACCCAATTGTGGATGAAAAAATTATGAATCATGAGGCATACATTTTTTGTGCCATATAATTATACGTAACTTTCTCTATTACAAAATCGAAAGTTTCAACTGTTTTTACCAGAAAGCAGAGTAAAATTAAAATTAATTATTTTTAAAAAATAATTTGGTGACAATATATAAATATTTAAATGGGGCGAATAATATTTAAATGCAGTTAACTTACGGGGAACTTGATTTACACACGCGTCAGGGCTAAATCTCTTTAGTCCGGCCCACGCGTAGTGTAAAATTTCATTCATATTTTTCCGCCGATAGCCGAATGTTTATTTTTTTTTTTGTTTAAATTATGAAATACGATGTTTCTTTTTAAGTCGTTTAAAAATTTATTCGTTATTTAGCAAAGAGATTTGAATAAAACATTATATTCAACGAATGTTGAATTTTATAAAAGTATGTTTTTGAAAGAATGTGTGATTTTACATCTGCTTTTTTTAATTTTATTTTTAGTAGGTTCTTTGAATAATTGATACAATTTCATTAATATACATACGAATACATTGATTTTTGATAATATATTTATCAATTTCTTCTATATACATTTCTTAATTATCAAACAATTAAAACTGAAAAAGAGATAAAAATTTTATGAAAGGTATCGCTATACCTTCTTGAATAAAATTGTAATTTTAACTTAATATACTGTGTTGTTAGAGCTTAGAAATTTACGTCATGAAGTCATTTACGTCTGGCAAGCCTTGAAAATGGGCGCTTATTTTTAAACGCCTGAAACACGTAAACTTTTAATATTATCTTCATTTTATTGAAGCGAATGTTTCATGCACTCAAAAATAGGCAACCATTTTCAAGATTCGCCAGACGTGAATGAAGGAAACAAAAGAAATTTGAAGAAAGAAAAATTAGTTTCTAAAGAAAAATAGTATATAAGAGTGATAAACAAAATTAGACAGACCGCAGTAGCCGAGAGTGAAGCAGAGAATGTATACTTATCCAGTGTAACCTTGGATACATCGGACAAAATAGACGAGCTTTAAAATTTTGACTGAAAGAACACAATAGATAACTCCATTATTAAAATTGCGATGAATTATCTATAGCCGCACATTGTTCGAATCCTGTGCATAAATTCAGTTTCGATAATATCAAAATTCTTAACACCCCTGTCACATCAGCTCATCTAGATGCCCTAAAACTTGTTTTATTCATAATGAAAGCAGATACCCTTGTTAACGACTAAAGTTCATCAACAACTCTGAATTGTGCGCGGAAATTCATTTCATCTAGCCACTTCACCTGTGCTCTCTCAGCCATTTAAGTTTTTCTAGATTTGTTTTTTAACCTTTATTTTCTATTTAACTCTAGGGTACAAGGTTTTTCCAGTTTTATTTTTAACACGCATTTTTCCTCTTTCATTCGCAAATTCACGTTTTCTGTTACAAATCACTTTTGTTTTCCCCATTCCTAATTATTTTTGAGCGCTTGAAATATGCTGAATTTTATTCCAATTTTCATATTTTTTTGAACAAGTAAACTGTGTTACGTTTGGGTCACGATCATTATTTTAATCGGAATCTTATAATTTAATTAAAAAAAATAGGCAAAGTGTTTTACATAATTCTACTTAAATAAGCATGGATTAGATGGAAAAACAGACAAATGTTTAACCTTTAAAATGATGTAAGCATTATGACCAAAGAAAAAAAAAATTTGTTTTTATTTCTGAAAGACAGGATAGACCTTCTATGAAGATTATCTACATATTTAGTAACATTAATTGTATATAATAAATGAATCATTTAAACTAAAACGGAGAAAATATTTTTATATGTCAGATATGTTGTTGTTGTAGTTCATTTACGTCGCACCAGAGCTGCACAATGGGCTATTGGCGACGGTCTGGGAAACATCCCTGAGGATGAAAAGAAGACATGCCATCACAATTTTGATCCTCTGTAGAGGAGGTGGCACCCCCGCTTCGGTAGTCCGACGACCTGCACGCAAAGTCGAGAACAGTTTAACGGGGACCAATACCGCACACACTCGGTCCCAACGCAGACTGATCCAAGTGGTCACCCACCCGCACACTGACGGCAGCCAGTGATGCTTGACTTCGGTGATCTACTGGGAACCGTGTCTTAACGATCAGTCCAATGCGGGACATTTCAGAGATGCAAACTTGCTAAGATTAGAGGGTAAATCTTTTTTAGTAGCAGCAAAAACCATGCTTATAATGCATGGTTTTGGATGAGTAAATCTAAAGTTATTTTTTTCACCACTTCTTAAAAATACTTAAAAACTATGTATACAATGCCACTTTCTTCTAAAAATTTTTGGGGTCTAACTGGCCAAGCTGTATCACCCGTGTAACTCCTTGCAAAGAGTGAAGGTAGCTGGTTCGAATCCTTCTGTTACCTTGGATGAATCTTCGTGCTGTCCTTCACTGTATTGTGGTATCTGTTCTTCTACTTGACAAAGGTTTATAAGCCTGTAAATGTATGATGTATAAATAATACAATATATCCAGGTGTCTTTAGTAAGTTTAGTTTAGTTTCCTAAAGTGGCAGGTTTCTAGGTAGTGATTTTCCAATCCAGTGGTTTTTAACGACTTGCTCCCCTTGTCACTTTTCTCTTTGTTGCTTTTTAAAAAAGAAATATACGATTTTTTAATTTTTTAATTCAGGTAACAATTTTTAAAGGAAATAAAAGCTTACATTATAATTGAAACCACTTACAGCCCTGAGGATAATGTCCAAAAAATAGAGCGAGTCGTTAAAAGCAGCAGAAATTTAAATTTACATGTATCTAAAGTGACTTAGAATTAACCAAAAATTTCACAATTTTTAGGTTTTCATTAATAACCATTTCGCGAAATGTTCTGTAGAGAAACAAGCAGTGGGCATCCCTAATTTTAATTTATATAGATAAGACGAAAAATTTGAAATTTAATTTGATTCTTTTTTTTTTCAGTTTAGGAAACTATCTATAAGCAAAAATTTCCCAGTTATTCTTTTCACTCTGGTCGATAAAATAAAGTTGAAATCAAACATTCCTTTCGGACAGCGTGGTGCTTCCTTGGACGAAGCTGTTGTATTTCTCCGAAAATTTATTGACCAAAATCAATTTGCGATCCAATTCAAGCCACCAAAGTCACAGGAGGTAAGTTATTTTAATTATTCATCGATGAAAGATGTTATTTTTTTTACTCCAATTCTCAAGTACACAAATATCAGCTTCATTTTACGAATTTTTTTCTTATAATTACGTAATATTTTTTCGCCATATAAAGTTAACCATAACAACATATAAATTTCATTCAGTTAAAAATAAGACTTGTATCCGAGGCTGTTGATTGCTTGCTGGTTAAAGGAACATTTCATTTTTTGGGAAATAGTACACTATTTATAACTTTCACTATTTATTAGCAATTAGGAAGCGTATAATTATTTGTCAACTTAATATTACACACATACTCGTATGTACTTTTATAGTTATTATATACTAATATATGTATTTACATTTTATATACTTATTTTATATATGTATATTTAATATATTTTATTATTATTGTATATACTTTTTTTTTTGTTAAATATAAGCGTAAAACTGTATAAAAGTAGTAGTAGTCACAAATAGTTCATTTTATTGAAATAACAGTAGAAATGTAATAATTTTAAATATTCCGGTTCTTCTTATTTTTGGAAAATTAACAGTCGTGCTTATATGGGTGATTCTCACAAAAACTGTCATTTTTCAGTTCATAAAATCTCAAAAAAAATTAAATTAAATAAAAAGCTCTGAAACTTTTTATATTAATAGAAATATGTAATGGCATTATAAAGAAAGTATATATCCTATAAATTATACTTAATATTTAAATAAATTAATTAATTTCACTGTTTAAAATGTGAGGGAATGATATTTTATTATAATACATGTTTTTTTCTAAGTCATAGCTACCTCAAGTCTGAAAATGATAACATACTAAGTATATCTAACATTTATTATAATTTAGTTTTATATACTTAATAGTTTTTAAAGGTTTGGGAAATAAAATTGGCTGGCACGATTGAACAAAATTTTTTTTATATAATATACTCATCTTGAATCATTNTTGAATAAAATTGGTAACCATTTGTCACTTTTAAAAAACGTATAAAAGTTATAAAATACATAATTCCTTTTGAAGTTTGTAGCATTTAAGGAATTTATTTTATAAATAAAGAAAAATAAAAGTCTGTAAGTTCCTAATAGGTCATGTTAGTTATATTTACCACCAAAAAAATGGCATTTTATAAACTAAATTAGTTGTTTTTTTATATCAATTTTCTGTTCTTAAAACAATTTCAATTCCAAAAATATTTTAATTTACCTTTACTAGAAAAATTTAAGGCCCGTTAAAGGGTTTACAGTCGTGCTTAAATCTTAAATTTGATAGGATTTTTTAAAATTTTCACGATCTGTACTGTGGCACTCTAGATTATCGATCACCAGTTGCAAATCAGAGCTGTCTTTTCACAGAAATTAGGTACCAAAAATATCAAATCCTAGTCGGCAAAAGTGGAGATCATGTAAAAAAAAGAACGTATGATTTATGCTTATTCCGTCGTAAATTCACGTCTTATTTCGAACGTTTTTTCGGCAATTTTTTATACGAATCTCCACATTTTTTAAACAATAATACGGCGCGGAAATATCAAATAGTACATTTGAGTGATAACTTTTTGATGAACTCTACTCCATCTTCAAATTTCGAAGTGTTGTCGCTCGATTTTTCGAAATTTATTGCTACGTATTTCGACAAAATTTTTTAAAATATATAGATATTAATATAAAGTTTTTAAAATATCGAAAACTGATTCATATCAAATAAATCGATTTTTTTACTACAAAGGAATACAATAAAACAACAAGTCTGGTGCTTCGCTTGCGCCTATTTAAGAGTGGCTAGCAAATGTGGCTACCATTTTTTATAACGCTAGAAACCAATGGCTACTAATTGTAATTGCTATTCTAGAGTTCTACTTTGCGGGTCAAATATGACGTGAATTACCACTTTTCAAACCTGAAAAACTTTGCACATCATTAATAAGTTGGTCAGTAGTACAATAACTGCAAATAAATTAACCACTACCGTATTTCCGTCTTAATCCGAAATAACACTAGATAAATCAATAAATATAGGCATGCAGGAGCACTTGATTGATTCTTTCTAGTAACAGGTGGTACTCTGAAAACAGTACAGAGAGGTAAAAATTAAACACTTTCACCTCTGAATTTAAAAGATACACTTAACCTTAAAATTTAAAGGTACATCGCACCGATCACAGTGCAGACGTAAAATATCCTCAGTGTAGACGGATGATTGGTTAGAGTCCCTTTGCTGTCGAGTTAACCGTGGGATTATTTCGTGGTTTTCCTCTCCATGTGACGCAAATGTGGGTTAGCTTAATCGAAAAGTCCTCCCACGATGGCAAATTTCTCCCATTACTTGATAAAGGAGTTCATTTGTCTTCTAGATTGGGTTCAAAATTACAAGGTTACGGAGATCAACGTTGGTAGTTGTAAACTCAGTGTAGGGTTATAAAATAAAATTTGAAGGTACACTCTTTGTTGGTTATCCACTAAGCTCTTCCTGTAAATGATATAACCTTAGTATTAGCCGCAAAGTGCATCCGATGATTGTAGTACTGCTGGATTATAATTTGACCTTGAGGTTCCCATTCTATCATGATTATACCATAATTATCAAAATAAAACGATGAGCAAGGCTTTCAGTTTTGACTTGCTCATTCAAGCTTTTTTGGCACTTGGTGATGAGGGGTTTTTCCAGTGCATAGATTGTCGTTTAGTTTCAGTAAACGTTTCGTCACATGTTATGACTTTTTCAATCAGTTCACGATCTTCTGTGACGCGTTCTATGATGTCAGAGCAAATGTCTTTCCTGTTCATCCTTTGCTCCTGTCAATATTTTGCTTTTATCAAAAATTTCTCTTATTGTCTCTCTGTCTATGTTCGCATTATCTGACATCATTCGAACACTCAAGCTTCGATTTCATCAATTTTTTTTAAAGCTTTTCATCAGTTCTTGAAGTCACAAGACGACCAGAGTGTTCATCATCTTCAACAGTCGTCCGTAAATTGTTTGTGCCAATCAAAAATTGGACTATGTGACTTGCAATTATCGTCAAACACCTCCTTTAACAAATTAAAGCATTCAGTTGTAGCTTTTTTTTTAATTTCACAATGAATTTCAAATTAATGCTCTGCTTGATTTTTAGATTAATTATGATCACAGCTCTTCTACACAACAATGTCTAACTGAAACAAAGATTAAAAAAAAATAAAACTTAACTAGTGAGAGGGACGGAGTAACGTGCCACCTGCAAAAATATAGAGAAAACATGGAAAATAATATAATAAAGATTAGTAAGAAGAGAAGAAGAAAAATTATTAAAAAAAAGATTTTTAAAAATATTTTCTTTTAATAATTTCTTTTTTTTTCTCGTTTCTTTTTTATCTTGTATATGATGTTATTATTTTTCTCGGTCCAGAGTGTTCTTGTCCCTGCCTTCAAAGGAAATCTTTATGTACGAAAGTCAAATGGAGATTTGACCTATTTCGCTCCGGTACCAGAAGAAATTCCGTCAGATGTTTCGGAGGAAATCGAAGAATATCTGATGCATGATGACCCTGCAGATCTGAATAATGTCAATGATGAAGGAATGACCTCGGGTAATTTTTTTAATTACTTCAAGCCACTTATTTCTACAATACCTTTATGCCCTACAGCAGGGATGGCGAACCAATGGCACGGGCACGCCACCGATCACAAAGTTCACTATGAAGCATATTAACATTTAAATTCACAAAAAATTAACAAAAAATGCACAATTAATGCCAAAAAAGCAATTAATAACCATAAAAAAGCAAGCTAACAATAAATAACTAGCAAAAAAAATTAACAATTCTGCTTAAACTAACATCTTATAACCCTAATATAAATTATTTGTCATCTAATCTGCAACAACAGAAGTCACACTGATGTTACTTTAAGTTGAAATACGTGCATAACTGAGACATTGCAAAATGTTTTTTTTTCGTAGTAAATAAAGTAGAGTTTATAGTATTTAGTATTATTATTTACCCAATAATCACGAAGTCAAAACTGTTTGTCGGCTCGTTCATGACCTCATTAAAAAATTTTTTAGAAAAAATGGCACGTTGGAGCATAAAGGTTCGCCACCCCTGCCCTACAGCATTGATTATAAACCCGATGATTCACAGTCTACAATTGATACAACTCTAGACGTAGANGCTTACTGGGCAATAATCACGAAGTCAAAACTGTTTGTCAGCACGTGCACGACCTCATTAAATTTTTTTTTAGAAAAAATGGCACGTTGGAGCATAAAGGTTCGCCACCCCTGCCCTACAGCATTGATTATAAGCCCGATGATTCACAGTCTACAATTGATACAACTCTAGACGTAGATATTTGTCGAAAGCCTTAGCCGAAATAAATCTGGTGGAATGATACCAGTTTTTTGTGATAATTCACTAGCAAATAATAAATAGCACAGTGGATAATCAAAATAGCTTTATTGCTTTAAAGTTAATTGTAGAATGTTTAACACTTTCAAACATGGAAAAAGCTCTCTTTTCTCTCACTTTCTGCCCTGAAATTGAAACAAAACTCAAATTTCTTTAAAATTTGTTTACTTAATTTCGAAAAATAACTACTAATTACGAGCAATAAAAATTTTCACTTCGTGTTTACAGGGATAAAAATAATGCATTGAAAATAATAATTTATACTAAATGTTGGTAAATAAGTCACTGGAAACTCTTCGATGATATTGAAAAACTTTGTGTAAAGGACGAGTTATCTCGTGATGAAAGAGTTAAAGGGTCAGTGTCTGGAAACTCTCTTTGAATGGTAACTCTCTCTTGAGGCCGCTGTTAACACATTGCATGCGGGAAATTTTTCAGAAAATGTATTGCATTTGTTAAAGGAGAAAACTTTTAAAAAGTGGTAGGCAAAATTTCATAAGAACTGGGGCAAATTTGTCTCTCTAGCTATAGCTGCAATTTAAAAAAAGAAAAAACTAAGACGGACCCCCTTGGAAGGTGACACATGGTGCTGATGGGTTTCGTACAAGGGTACGAAAAATGTGCTCCAGCACATTGCATGTAGGATGGATCATCCATGCAGGAGTTTTGAGAGAGCCCAAATTTATGGCACCTATAGTAGCACTGTATCTCGTAGCGCGACCTCCACGAAATCGCTCCATCCGTACAGATGTTAACTGGAGTTGATCGATGTTGGCAATCTCTCCTTGTGAGAATGATCAAGAAGAGGGGGAAGAGCTTGCATCTTTAGTCTGTTGTTATTGACTTATTCCTCTTCGTCAACCGCTGGCTAGACCAAGTCAATGAGCTCGAAAGTCTTCAGGAAATCAAATACAAGTAAGGGACCAGAGTAGAGGTCTTTCTTTTCCAGACCAAGAGAGTGTGAAATGTGATCGGGAGAAGCCTGTGCTGAGTCGTGCACGTTGAATAGGTCTTTCCCCCAAGCTCAAAAGAGAGACACCTGATGCGTCCGCTTATGAGAATACTTATAGTGGACTGTATGGCTCTATCAGCCCCTATGGTAAGTGCCCCACCAGGAGTCAGTTCTCTAGTCTGTTTATTTAGCAAATGATCGGGTACTGTGCACCATGCTGGTGAATCATAAGTGCCTATCGTTCTCATGGTTTGTGCATATATTAGTTTCTTTAGTTAAAGTGCCATATTTGCATGTTTAAATATGAGTGGTTTCCGAGCTTTGAGGGCTCCTCTGGCTTTTGAGATGATATCTTTTATATGGTCATTCCATGAGAGTTCGTTATTTAATGTCAAGACAAGGCATTAGTTTTCAGCACCACTGGAACAGTTTGAAGATTTCAACACTTTTAGTGAATTTTGCACTATTTCTTGAGATTTTAATTAATAATAGACTGTCCAGATCCGATATCTCAAAATCATCTTTCAGGAGTAAAGTTTTAAGTTTTCTACCGGGTGGTTCGTAGAATTTTTTTCTGAGCTAGGATAGCAGTGATAGCCTCAACTGACGCCGAGGTTTCAGATGTGACGCCTTGCTCCACATGAGTTACACTAGAAGTGTTACAGTGAATGAGCGAAAGCAAGAGAATGTCGACTTTCTCCGGTGAATGTCAACAATCACATAGTCGCTTTGGGTAATGTCCGAAATATTTGTTACATCCCATTTGATGCTAATTTATTCGTTGATATTATTATATTTATTCGATATTTTAATACCCGCTGAGTATAGATTTGGAGAAACACCAGTGTTCAGAGTACCGGTTAAGTGCATACTAGGCTGTGGCACTTGACCTTAAAAAAATATTAAAGTTGGGCAGACCGGTCAAACGTTTACCGGATAGGGACATTTAACTAGACGTGGTATATATTTCGGACATTTACCAAAGCGACTATGTCATTGTCAACATTCACCAGTAGAAGTCAACCAACACCGATTTCGGTCATTCACAGAAACAGAAGCACTAACACTTCCAACTGAATGATTTCCTCGGAGACTGGTTGGCTCTTCTTTTTGGGACGGGTTTGCTCGCATTCTGAGTAGCAGCATTCTTGCACTATGTTAGAAGTAAAAGGTTTTTTTTCTTCCTTTTCTTTGGTTTCCTATCAAATGAGGAATTGGTATCGGTTGGCTCTTTTTAGGAACTGGCTGAAGATTCTCTTTCTTAATTTCTGGAGTATTTCCAGTATGGTAGTAGAACGAACAATCTTAGGAGAGGAATATGTGTTTAGGGTTCTTCTAACAACGGGTTTGGCAGCTCAGACTTGGTTATGTGACACTTTTACGTAACAAAACAAATTTAAAGTAAAATAATTTCTGTAGTTATTTTCAAAATTTCATGTAATAAAAACAAATTTAGAATAACATCATTCCTATTGCAATTTTTTTTTTAAAATTTTATGTAACAAAACAAATTTAGAATAAAATTATTTCCATAATTATTTCCAAAATTTTATTTTACAAAAACCGAAATATCTCCTATAACAAGGTTACAAAATTTTATGTCACAAAACAAATTCAAAATAAAATAATTTCCGTAATTATTTTCACAATTTTATGCAACAAAACAAATTTCTAATAAAATAATTCACATAACAATTATTTAAAAAAAATTTTATGATCCGGGGAAGCGTGTATAGTAAATTATTTCTGGGACAGGATCGTACGAGTAGTAATGCTGATTTGAGGATCGGATAATCATTCTAAATATTTTAGGCTTTTGGCAATAGTATTCCAACATCGTAGGCCTAATTTACTGGGGAGGGCTAAGCAGCATCGTCATTTCTTTTCTGCCGAATCGAAAGCAAAGAATGTTTTTGGTTTTAATATGAGTAGTTTGAAATGTAAGTCATATATGCAGTTAAAATTGAATAATTAAAGAGATAATGAATCAATAAAAATAAATTGAATTTCTTCCAGTTTTTATATTTTTACTTGCTCTAGGCATCCTTGTAAAGGAATAATAATTAAGAGTCACTTGCGCAAAAAAAGTTTAGCTCTCTTCGAAAAATTTGATAAAATCTCATAAAAATATTTCTAGAGAAATTTAATTTCACTTCTTCATATTTTTTTCTTTCAATATTTTTTATCCTCGGAATAAGATAAAGTAAAGGCTCTTTGTAACATTTGCTTTTTATCTCATGGTTCAAAAAACTAAGACGCATTAGATTATTTAAGTGCTGAACTCTTTGTTTGAATTTTGATAATTTCGAGGGAAAAATATTTTTATTCTTATCGGAATTCCTTATCGGTTGATTTTTAAAAATTTCCATGGATAAAACTAGTTTCAAAATTGAGGATAGCAACTATTAAAAATATTTTTGCAGTTTCAGTAAAAAAGAAAAAAATCACATTATGACAAAAAAAAATGCTTTTTTCAAAATGCAATTTATTGATTACAATTCCAACAGCTTTATGCAATAGTGAGCACCATTTTTTTGAAAATTTGTTTAACATTTTCACATTTACTGATTAAAAACCTTGTTCTCCCCAAAAAATATATAAACGGGAAATAACAATCGACATGTTTCAAGCGCTCAAAATCAGGCACCCATTTTCAAGACTTGCCATATCGGAATGAGAAAAAAGCAAAAGTATTTTGATATATAAAAATCAAATTGTCAACGAAAAATGGAGAAATATAGGTAAGAAACAAAACTAGAAGAAAAAAACACAATTGCCGAGAGGTCAGTTTATTTACACTCTTATTTAGTTTAGGGTAAATTTGTTTAAGAAGGCAATGTTCTACAGATGCTAGAACGAAATAGCTAACGCAAAGCTTATAAATATTTATCATAACGGAACGCGCTATTACTGATTCCAAAAGCAAATTTAGGATAAAATAATTTCCATAACATTTTTTTGAAAATTTTATGTAACAAAACAAATTGAAAATAAAATAATTTCCAAAATTTTATTTTATAAATTTAATTACAAACATAAATAATATAAATATAAATTTATTTACGAATTTAGAATAAAGAAAATTTCATAAATTTTTTTTTAAAATTTTATGCAGCATAACAAATTTAGAATAAAATTATTGGTGCAATTATTTCCATAATTTTACGTAACAAAATTTAGAATAAAATAAGTCCTATGATTTTTTTTTTAATTTTATGAAACAAAACAAATTTAGAATAAAAGAATTTCTACAATTATTTCTAAAATGATCTGTAACAAAAAAAATTGGAATAAAATAATTCCAATAATTTCTTTTTAAAAATTTTACAAATTTAATGTAACAAAACAAATTTAAAATAAAATAATTCCCTTAGCAATTTTTAATAAAATAATGCAACAAAACAAGTTTAGAATAAAAAGTTTCGACAATTATTTCGAAATTTTTATATAACAAAAGCAAATTTAAAATAAAATAATTCCCATAACAATTTTTGAAATTTTGTGTAACAAAACAAATTTAGAATAAAATAAATTCTATAATTTTTTCCAAAATTTTGTAACAAAATCAAATTTAGAGTAAAATAATTTTAATTACAATTTTTTAAAATTTTATGCAACAAAACGAATTTAGAATACAATAATTTCCATAATTATTTCCAAAATTTTATGTAACAAAAACAGAAATAAATCCTATGACAATGTTTCAAAATTTTATGTTGCAAAACAAATTTTAAAATAAAATAATTTCCATAATTATTTTCAAATTTTATGTAACAAAGAGAAATTCAGATTAAAACAATTCGCATAACAATTATTTAAAAAAAAAATTTCTATGAGCACGATAATCGTGTATAACAAATTATTTGTTAACTAGCGCTCATCAATATTATACTGTGTCACCAATGCCTGTGAATAATTAATTTTCAGAAGCTGGTATGATTTTTGTTCCTAAGTTGAAATTAATTAATTTGATTTCAATTATAAATTAAAAAATGATTCTTTTATTTTCAAGTAGTGTATCTTTTAAGTGTGAACCGCAAAGGCTCAGTGGATAAGACAATAATGAACTATCATTGTGAAAGACGCTGGTTCGATTCCCAGAGGCTGCATGAAATCCACCAGCTTCAGATCACTGGGTACCAACTTGACTGGGAAGTAAAAAAATCGGGTGAACAATGTTACAATTATGCTGATGGCCTTGAATTTGTGAAGCCTTAACCTCCACGGTCCCCTTGGCTCAAAATTGATTGATGCAGGCATGTTTTTGTTTTTTTAAAAAAGAAAAAAAACGCATATGCTCTTTACTAGGCTTTAGTGCCGTAGTGAAAGATAGAGAGGGGAAGACAGAATACAAAATCACGCGATTCGAATTCGCGTTAAATTCAACAAATGGTCAATTTTAGAAACCTCTGATATTTCAAATTTTACTCTTGATTAATATTTTTTTTAATTTTTCAATTTAAACGATATATTACTATTGATGATATATTATGTCTGGTTTGAAACTCCAGAGTTTTCACCTTGTAATCATTTAAAAATTTCGAACATTTCTGGGTTAAAATAATGCATTAAATAAGCAGTAAATAAAGTATGAAACAACAGAGTATCAAACAACAATAAACAGTAAACAAAGTATCAAACAGTAACAGTAAACAAAGCATGTCAAAGCTTATATTTTTTGTCAAAAAAATTCTTTGTATTCTCAAACATCAATGTGATTTGAAGAATTAAAAGGAAATGGGGAGAAAAGAAATACTGTTTCTAATAATGCCTTTGTTTATTTATGGTGATGAAAAACCGTTACTTTCACAAAAGTTCAATTTGAAAAAGAAACACGAATTCAAATTTATACAGCCGTCCTGCATGCGTGTATCAATTCAATCAAATGCAGAATCTAAATAAGTTATGATTCATAATTTTTTATAGGGAAAAAAAAAGTTGATTGCATTGAGATGTAGGTAGCAGAAAAAAAGTAATAATAGTAAAATATTTTCTTCAGTCGGTCAGTTGGCTATTTGAAAAGGGGAAAATGGTCAGGTACAAAGTTCGACCCAAAAGATTATATCGATTTACCTATTAATTGGTCGACTTCTGTTTTTTAATGCAGCTTTTGACAAAGAAAAGCAAAAAGAATTCGTCTTTAGGCAAAATATTTTTTTCAATTGACCTCTTTCCTAATTAAAAAAAATATTTATCGGAAACAAAAGTCTACTGAAAAAAATATTAGTAGTCTTTATCTGTTAACAGGCCGACTAGACTACCTCTATACTTTTTTATTGCCCCCCACTCACTAAACCCTTGCTTATCTAATTATACATGTGTGATGTTATTTGTCAGTAATACATAAACTGCAACTGTGTTCGATTAATTATAAAAATAGCAACTTGTACTTGCATTAAAAAATTAGATCTTAATTTTAGTTTAATGCATCTCCAAAAATTAAAAGTAGAATAATGTGATTTTAATGCAGGATGAGGAGAACTTTAAAGTTCATTTTTCTGAAATTTAACAAAATCTATCCAACATAATTTGTGAAAACAAGGTTTCAACCGATATTAGAAAAATTTAACAGTTATTTTGTTCGATTAACTATAAAAATAGAAACCTATACTTAGATAAAAAAAAATTAGATTTCAATTTCAACCTAAGACTTCCCTATCATCCAAATGGCCATCATAGGACCAATATTCACGACTCTTGGCTCAATAAGGATTCAAATGGCTGTTATTTTCCGATATTGGCCTTGTATAGAATTCACCGATTCACCCATACTTTATAATCAATATCAGCCCTATATAGAATAGTCCGATTCACCCGATATTTTACAACCAGTACCAGCCCTATATAGAATTGTCCGATTCACCCGATATTTTACAGTTGTCCGATTCACTCTATATTTTACAACCAATATCGGCCCTATATAGAATTGTCCGATTCAATCGATATTTTACAGCCACTTTACAACCAATATCGGCCCTATATAGAATTGTCCGATTCACCCGATATTTCATAGTCATTATTCAGCCATTATAGGCCCTATAGATGCTGATATTGTCCTTATATAGGAAAAAAAATTAAAGAATCTGAACATCCCAATATTGGTTCCTCGTTGCATGTTCATCTCAGACTCACATTGAGTCAATTTTGAGGCCGACAGGTGCCTGGGTAAAATTGTTGATAGGCGTATAATTGTTGAGGGAATTCACTCAAAAGTAAAATCAGGATATTTTGATTCTAATGCAACATAAGACGGACTTAAGAGTTCATTTTTTTTAAAATTTAACATGACACAATTCGTGAAAACAAAGTTTTCATGGATATTAGAAAGATTTAGCAGCAGCAGCAAATCATCCTAAATGTTAGTAGACATCTTCGTTTTTAAAATACTGCTTTTTAACACATTGAATGCAACGGTAAATAACTACAAGCTAAATTTGCAAATTTTTCTAGTTTCTTACAATGAAAGTGGTGAATTATGTAAGCCTATTAATTGTTTAGAAATAGTGGTGGATAAAAATCTACTGAATTGAATTTATGTAAACCAAGAATCACAATTGATAAACGACCACTTGAAAATATTTATTCGCTGTCCGGAGCAAGTTGGCATCTCTGTGTATATTAATAAAATTACTTTTGTGTGTTCTATAATGTATTGATTTCTTAAAACCATTTTAGTAACGTTATTGTTGTTAATTTACGTCGCACTAGAGCTGCACAATGAGCTATTGGCGATGGTCTGGGAAACATCCCTGAGGATGATCCGAANTGCTTAATTTTTTTAAGAATAGTGGCGATCAAAATCATTTAAAAATTAAATTTATAAATGCAAAGAAAATATACATTTACTACCACTTTAAATATAAAAATAAAATTTTACGCCAAATGCGTAAAAGTTAGCAGGTATGTATATTAATAAAACTATTTTTGTGTGTTCTATAATGTATTGATTTCTTCCAACCATTTTAGTAACGTTATTGTTGTTAATTTACGTCGCACTAGAGCTGCACAATGAGCTATTGGCGATGGTCTGGGAAACATCCCGGAGGATGATCCGAAGACATGCCATCACAATTTTGATCCTCTGCGGAGGGGATGGCACCCCCACTTCGGTAGCCCGACGACCTGCGCGCGAAGTCGAACACTTTACGGTAGCGCAGTTTAACGAGGACCAATACCGCGCACCCTCGGTCCCTACGCAGACTGATCCAAGTGGTTACCCACCCGCACACTGACCGCAGCCAGTGATGCTTGACTTCGGTGATCTGCTGGGAACCGTGTCTTAACGATCAGTCCACTGCGGGACCCATTTTAGTAACGATAATAATATAAAAATATTAAAAATTTGCTCGAATTATGTGTTTCTAATGATCTTGGCTTCGCCGGTCACTGGTGACCCCATGGCATTCAACATGTTAATGTATAGAAGTTTTAAAGAGTCGTGATGTAATATTTGTCGCTGGTTGAGAAACAGTGGATATTAAGAGGGTTTTAACCCGATCATCTTTAGTTATAGGTTAAATTTTTAATCTGTATTTTCTTGATATTTTTTGTGGTTAACTAACTTTCAGCGAAATAATATTTTCCAGCACAGTTCCTGTCGAAAAAAGGTAGAAAGGATCGCTTTATTAGATTAGGAGAAATAGTTCTTGATAAGTTTCAGAACTGCGAACCAAACTGTGTAGTGGTCAGTGAGCTGACCTCACAGCATCACATTGGGTTCGAATCCCGGACAAGTCAGGAATGATTTTGTGTTCTTTGTAGTATCTGTCGTCACTGTGAGAGATACGTCCACCTTTCTCAGTTTTTAGATTTTTTTTATTATCTAATTTTTTTAACAGTTTAATCTGATGGTAATAGATACGGATGACGTTAAAAAATTCTTTTAGCGTTGATTGCATAAAAACAAAAAATACTTAACAAAAATACTGCCAAAAGGAGTAAATATCTATCGATATTTTATTTGCTGAAAATTAAATGAGAAAAAGTAAACGCATATTTAGAATTTTCCCTCCATGGCTTCGACAATAAAGTTAGGTCGAAAGAGAAAAGACTTCTTAACACCTTTCATTAAAACTTCATATAATGTTTAAAAAAATCGCTTTATTCTATGAGTTTTTTTTCTTTTCAGGTTCCTTAACATTACTTAGTTTTGCTATGGTGTTTATTGGAATTGGTATTGGTGTCTGCATAATGATTCTATATCAAAGATATAGAAGACAATCTGGTCTGGAAGACAGAATTCAACTCTCACTGCAAAAGTCACACGACGGAAGTCAGAACGTGGGTTTTGCAGAAGGAACTCATTAAATGTGAACAATAAATTCTGTACATACTTTCACCAATTAAAGATATATTTTTAAAAACAATTATAGCAAACTCAATTACCCATCGAATTAAAGCAACAAACCACAAATCAAATTATAAATAATTATTTTGAAAAGCTTCGGTTTACATAATTCCAGGAAAGAGATATTGTATTACATCTTGCATGAATTGCAGTGGAGGCCTGACTCACTTCAAAATTAAAAATATCTGAGGAGGAGAATGCAATTTTTATTATGGTTAAATGTAATAAAGGAATTCTGTACATACTTTCTACAAAAATATATATTTATATATATTTTCAAAACATTTGTCGTCAGCTTAATTACCCATGGAATTAAAGCAACAACCACGGACTGAAATTATAAAATAATTATTTTGAAAAGCTTCTGTTTACATATTTCCAGAAAAAAGAAAGATATTGTGTTACATCTTACATGGACGGACTGGACTTCAAAATTAAAAACATCGGAAACAAAGGATGCAATTTCTGTGGTCACTTACGCAGATGTGGCTGTGAATAATAAAAACTGCAGCATATGGGGTGCTTCACTCTTTAGTGTCCTGCGCCATCAACCACTGCATCCTGATCATGTGACTGCATGGTGAGGATTTACTGTCAATTTTACCCTTTAGAAATTTCCTAAAATCGAGTAACTTAAAAGAACGTTTTTTCATAATACGGATTAATGATTCTAAATTGAAAGTTAACTAGTACTTTTAGTTAAATAATAGCAGTATAGAATTATTGTAAAATAATATTGGCTACATATATTTGCCATGTTTTTGCAATATTATAAATATTCATATCAAGAGCAAAAGTAGAACTTTTATCTGAAATTAAGGCAATATGTAAAAAAATATTTTAAAAATAAGTTAAAAGCAATGACAGAAAAAATAATATAAAATAATTTTTTCTATGAACTTTGCCAAATATGAGTACATTTTTTATTACTTTACGAATTCGGACGTTTTCTAGGAAAATAATTACTTTATTTAAAAATTTGAAAAATTTGTACAAAATTTGAGAGTTAGCTGTAATATTTTTTTCCATTTTTATTTTCATTAATATTTTTTTGCTTGCAGATTAATCTTCAAGGAAATCCCAAGCTCATTCCCGCTCCTTCAATTTACTTAATTTTCAAAACTAAAATTATACTAAGGAAAAATTAATGAAAATAAATAAATAAAACAGAAAGAGTGACATGGAAAATAATAATGATTTCATGAATAGCTTAATAACAACAAATGTAAATTTCTATTATTAATTTACGTAGCTTCGTTTTTATTTTTCAAGTATTTTTGTCTAATTTGTTGCCACAAGAGAGCAAAAGCAACTTTATTAAGGGAAAAATGCTTTCGAAAAAAATGTATCAACGCCATCTATGTTCTACATTTACATTTATAGGTATTATGTTCAAATTTACTCAGTTGTATTCAAGGATGTTCATTTTATTTACAGATTTGATACTTATTGTTATCTGTCTTTATCCTCATAACGGTTTTTGGCTTTCGTAAATTAAACAAAAGCAAAACTATTTTAAAGAATATGTCATCAATCCTTCTCAGCCAATTGTGATTAAATTACAATAATTAATTGGAAAAAAATTATGATCAGATGTGCACAGAAATTAACTAATTATATACAGTTATTTGCAGAATTTTGGACATGACTTCAATTTTCTTTGTAATATTTTTAAAAAAAAGTTATTTCCATCATAAAACAGATCTTTTAAAGAATTTATTAAACCTGACATTTTACCATTTATTATTAAAAAAAACATAAAAAAATAAGGAAATAAAAGTTATAAAATAAAAGAATACCGAAATTTATATTTTATGCATGTAACTCAGTGGTTCCCAGAGTGATCCCTACGGACCCTCGATATCATTCAGATGGTCCACGGAAAATTACAATTGATTTTGGTTCTCTGAACACCGTCAGGAGGTCCGCCCAAGATTTAATGCAAAATGATAAAATTGTGATCCATTTTTATAATGGAAATTAAAATAAATAAAGTAGTAGCAATTTTTACGTCCTGATTAAAATATAAATATAATATTTATGTGCTTAAAGTACAGTATGTTACTTAAGTATTAAGAGTTATGTAATACCTTTTGTGAATGAACATTGACAAAACTAATTTCCACTGATTTTGTCACTTGTAGTAATAGTGGTTTGTATAACTTGCTTTAATGTTATTAATAATCAATTTACTTCAAAAGTTTTAAGCTTTCAATTCTCATCAACACGCTAACAAAAATGTAGCAACCAAGAGATAATAACAAAATAACAGTAAAAAAAACTGAGATAATCCCAAAAAAACGCATATAAAAAAATCCCCTGACACACGCCAATTATTTACTAGTTCCAGATGGCGCCAGCTATTGAAGTTAATATCAAGCATGGCACCGCCACGGTGCGAGACTGATGGCCGATAACAGGTTTAAACAGCAACACAATAAAGCCGCTATGTGTACTAACTTGTCTACAATGTAAACATAAACTATGAAAGAGTTTTATAGTTTGTCTAAGCTAAAAGCACCTCTCGCCACAAAGTCTGAGGCCGTCTGGTGCTATGGAAACAAGAATGGCGCAGTTTAGAGAGGCTCGCTTCACTCTAGATCTAACACAATAGACCGAAGGAAAATATTCCCTTTCTCTTGCCGACCCGAGCCGAAATCACTCCAAAACAGCAACCCCTCACCCCTACTTGAAATAGTCATACCTCGTTACCATAGTCACCGCCACAGGTTCAGAAGAATGTCTAGGGGAGTTCTTATTTTAAACAAACTATACATAGTACATCCAATCAACAATTTTGTCCTATTTTATGCTGATCCGCATAGCGAAACCGGTTTTTCCATGTACTTTTATAAAGAAATAGGGTACAGTGGAAAACATTGTCCCCTAAACTGCCTTAGCCACTTTAAAAGCAATATTGCTAAAGTTCTCTAAACGGCCAGTGGGTTGATAAAAATCTATAATGATGAAAAAGATAAAGATTTAACATTTTTTCAAACAATCAAAGAAAAAAATTTGAAAGCACCGGTCACTGCAACAACTCATAGGGACAACATCTAAGCAAGATGACGGTGGACTGCGTGCTTTTTATAACATTTATTTATTGATTGCAAAGTTTGAAAAGCAGCACGTTATTGGTGAAGAATTTATTTTACTAACTGTAAGTGAGATAATTAACACCATGTTGTACAAACCAGCTTTCGACATTACAAAAAGAATTCCACTGAGTAATAACAGTACAAAGAAGGATTGACGAATTGGCTCAGTGAGTAGAAATTTCTTTATTTGAGTACTTAAAAAACATCTGAATTTTTGTTTCGACACTGCTTGACGAGTCCACTTTACTTGGAAACGAAGCTTTACTTTCAGCTTATGTAAGATTTGTAAAATAAGAAAACTTTTGCAAAGAATTGTTATTTGCTAAATGTTTGAAAACCGATACGAAAGGTGAAACGTTATTTGCTAAATTAAAAAGATTTTTCGATGTAAAAGCTATAATACCCTTGACTAATATCATTTCTGTTGCTACTGACTGTGCTCCGTCAGTGGTAAGTAGATACTAAGGCCTTCTGGCTCACTTCACTGAATATCTCTTCATTAATTATGTTAGTTACGAACAATCTGGATCTCACTCTTGAAATATAATTCTATATCGAGTTCCACATTGTTTTTGGGTGGGTTATTGAAATTATATTTACAGTTTATTTTAAAAGTTTGAATATAGTAGGATTCTTTGGTTTATTGTGTTTTTAAAGCTCGCTTTTCATGTTTGCTACACAACAAATTTCAACTGTTTGTACTGTCTAGTGATAGAAATGAATGTAAATAGTTAAAAAAATAAATAATTTAGAAATCCCGTTTTTTTTTAAATAATTAAAAATTTATTGAGTAGCTGCCTTCATTATGGCAAAATGAAAAATAGCCAACTTGATAATATCAGAAAGTGTAGTGTTCTAAACACTGAAACCACATCTAAACTAATTGGAGAAATGTGATAATGTAAAAAGGTTTAAATGATGCCTGTTTTAGAAAGACGCTTAAACCTTTCGAGTTGGTCCCTATCTGTGATGTTTTTTTTAGTTTCTCGCCGGGCCACTGCCCGGAAGTTTCCAAGACTTGGCGATTATTCTGCCACAGAGATCACGATACGGAAATTTCCCCATTTATGCATGTAAAATTCCAAAAAAGGGTAACAGTGGAAATAAAAACTAATTACATTTTATATAAAACGACTAAACTCGCCACCCTGCCCCTGAGCTTCATTGGCGAAAGCAGTATTCGTATTCCAATGATTACACTAAAATTGTAATTGTAATAATGCATCTGCCCATATTTGAGAAGTAGTCTGCCTAATTTAAAATATCACTCAGTTGCTACTTGCTCTAAATTTTCAAGTCAAATTTTAGTGATCTATTTTCCTATAATATTAAATATATTAAATTATATTATAGTATAATAATATATAATAATATTCGAAATCCAAATTCGATGATTTTCGTTCCAACTTTTAAGATTCAACTTTTACAAACTTCGAATTGTTGTGACTACTCAGCACCAGCTCTGGTGGTCTCTCATTCTTTGAGGGAGAGCCCTCAAAGAATGAGGGCTCATGGTGGAGATTCTTGTGGGCTCTCCCTCATTCTATGACTCAAAGATATTAAAGAATGACACGGCTAGGCATATAGCCTAGTATATGAACTGCACAAATATTAAAAACAATAGTAATGATAGCATGACGGGTAGACCCATATCCTCCGCGGCAGCTTCTGGTGGGTTTAACCCCATTTACACCAGTCTGATATATATGAATAGTGATAAAATGAAAAAAAAAAAGATTATGTTAAGTGGTCTAAATAGAAAACGGACCACCCTGAATAACTCTTGATCTAATGATCGGATCTTCACGTTTTAGGACTCACTTTTAATGACTCAAGGAGATGATCTCAAGCGTGCTAATTAATTAGTGCGAATTATATTTTAAAATACGGAATCAGACACAAAAACGTACTTTTTCTGAAT